TGCATGTGTAGTTTTTTATATATAAGCACACATTGATACTTGGAAATATCCTATGCAAAATTGATTTAATACTCAACTTTTAAGATCACAGCTACCTTGAGCAGACTTACCATAAGACAGGAAGCATAAGAATAAAATCAATTTGCATCTATTTTAAGATTTCTTAAAATCACAGTTCAGTGGTCATTTGTGGCACTAGAAGCTTCCAGTTTATATTTGTCTTTTGCTGCTGACTGAACAGAACATTAGAGAAATCTGCATAACAATTGTGGTAGCATCTGAAGGTAAAGTTTTAATTTGTTCTATATGATTGTTGTTTTTACCCATGTGCAAATAATTGCTACGGGGAAGAAATGCCTCACTGTTTTAAAGGGATTAACTGGGCATAATTGCATCTCGTTTTGATTCCTCTTTTAATAATGGATCCTCTCAACCCACGGCCAGTGCAGCAGCTTTGTCGGGCTTGCAAGCTAGTTTCAAAGCATTTATGTATTCCTCTTAGGTCTTTGTACTGCAAATGCAGTCATTTGGGTGGGTGGGGGTGTGGCAGCAGGGGAGTCTAGCAGAAGAAATGCACATAGTAATTTTGAAAAGACGAGCAATCATACAACTCTAGCAACATGCATGGTGTCAATACCTATAGCACTGAATATTTGATTGCTCGGGTTTCATTTCCACCTCCTCCCTTTGCAAACTGTAAAGACTAAGCAAGTTCCCAGGACAGACAGAGCCATTATACTATTATGTAAACATTTATCAGCTGCCTCCCAAGGCCAGCCAAAGACTGGCTAAGTATCTCTTAATTTGGAAAGACAGGTATAAACATTTATAAAGGTTTGGACTTTTTTGCATTGTGAGAGGCAAATCAACTCTTGTATTTAAAGCTCTATTCTGGTCTAGTTAAGCTACGCCGAGGTCTGTATAAGAAGGGGTCATATGCCTGGGGAAGTCACCCAACCCAAGTGCAAAATATAAACATAAAACTTGTATAAGTGACTATTAGTTGCACTGTACATGCTGCAGAATTTTGACATTTTGAAGGGCTGATTATACATTTAGATATTCGGTATTTCTGATAACAAATAGATTTATCTCCTCCTATGCCAGCTGAATCTCAGAATCTGGAGGATATTCTTTATGCAATGGTTGCAGTCTTCATAAATTACTCTTCTGTACAATAAATGCATAGCAGGATTTTGGATTAATGATATGGATTAATTTCATATTGTGTTTTTATCCTATGCATTTAGAATTTTGACTATTACCTGAGACTTTTAAATTAGGAAGCCAAATACAAATATGTTTAATCTTTTAATATATGGTATCTCTACACAAAGCAAGAGACATGAAGTTTATTCACCATAAACAGATCACACATCTATGTTGGTCTAAATCAGGGGTGTCAAACTTGCAACATCATATGACATGTCGTGACATAGTGCAACTTTTTTGCCATTGTCGGCAATGGGATGGGTGCGGTTTTGCAGTTTGACACCCCTGGTCTAAATCTTCTTTAAAAAGTAGGGTCCATTTTTATCCTTTAAAAATATTTTTATTAAAGGTGCAAAAAAGAATGAAAAAATGGAGATGAAAAAACAACTATTAGTGACTCCCACATTCATAAAAATAAGTATCAACAATTTCGCTATCTATTCATCTCTTAATTTAATAGATACAAAGCTTTTCATCCTATGACTCACCTCTTAATTATAGACAAGTCCAGAATGCAACACCTTTTCCAATGCAGATGTCAGTGAAAAGTTCAGAACTGATAATCTGTTGAAAATTTTCATTTCTAGAGACCTTTGCCTTGCAGTCTCCTCATAAGGAGCAGCTGTATGGAGCACAACATGGATGCTCTCACATCCTCCTTTACTCCAGAGAGAATCAAAACACCTGATCTGCTAGTTAGTTCCTTATTCTTAGCCACAATTTTTGGCTCTGTTTTCAATACATTTTTATCTCTAACTTGCTCCAATTCCCTTGGATAGCATGAAAACAGGTCATTTTAACTCTACCAACCTGATTATATTAGTGAACACACCATGTTCTAAATGATTGTTGATACTTAAATAGACTAGATTGGAAACATTCTTCAAAATAATCTTACTTTGATCTATATTTAATTAATATAACAATTACAGAGTAATAATGAACTAACAAACAAGAATAAAAAATTCAGACTGTTGCACAGTCCTAATTATTTTGCTATCCTGTAAATTTAACCGTTATTATTGTCCTACTGTTGTGACCTGGAACTAATGGACAGGCAGCTGTTGAAAGGTTTTCCTGGAATTTCAACCAGGAACTATACCCGTTTGTAGCAGCTGCTTATCCACTCTATATAACAGATCTTCCTCTTGAGTTACAATTTAACTCAAAATTGACCTCCAATTTGTATATTTTATAAAAGGATTGCTAAGCTGCTGTAACATATGAAAATGAACAGTTTCAGAACCTCTGATTTTTTTAAAAGCAACTTTAAGGCTTTGGCTGTAGATTTTAAAAGATTTTTTTTTAAGTGGTCTGTAAAATTGCTACATGAAACTGCAATCTCTCAATGGAATATTATATCTCTGTATAACAGGATTATTTAGTACACCCATCATTTTAACAAGTTAAATGAGAACACCTACAAACTCAGAACTGTATTATTCACTGGCAATTCAGTCAGTGTAAATAGCTGTAAGAGTTTAGTGTTGAATTTCCTGCTAGAACAGGATAAAAGAGTAGAACTATCAGTTCAGAGCCGACCATGCTAAGATTTACTATGTATTTTTGGACACTTATTATTGAGCAACCTCTATTGTTGTTATTAATGAATGGTTATTATTATTGTGGTTTTAAGATTTGTATTTTGTTTTATGTGTCAACATCCAGCTCAAGAATCCAAATAAAACTCCAGGTTCACTCTGTTTCCGAAAATCTTACTGTTTATTGAATATATGGCATGGTAATGTTGAAGCAAAACTAACTCTGAGGTTCCAGACACAGTTCATAGAATTAAACAATAATTTCTCCAGCCAAACCTCCAACCTCTCACGTAGTCCATGTAAACAATTTCACTTTGTTATGGGAAGCATCTGCTTTATCTCCACACCTACTGCAGTGTCCTTGGAAAGGTTTCAGGCTCTCATGGTCTTCAGTGGAATCGCAGAGGTTTCATTTCTCCATCTAACCCATTGTAAAGCAACACCTCCCCCCCTTCCTTACTCTAATGGCAAGCTGAAACAAAGAGGCACGTAGCTGCCAAATGTTCATTCTCGACATTATCTTTATTTGATGAATTTTGTACAAATGCTGGAAAACATTGCCCTCGTTGGTCATCAAGTAGCCCTGTGATCAAAAACATGTACAAAATTTAACAATTTTCCAGAAAAATGAAATAAGCTTTACAATCTCGTGGCACAAACTCAACCTCCTATGTATAAGATTATTGATTGATTGATATTCCACCTTTATTATTTTTATAAATCACTAAGGTGGCAAAGATACCTAATAGTCCTTCCTCCTCCTATGTACCCCACAAAAATAACACTATGAGAGGAATTAGGCTGAGAGAGAGTGACTGGCTCAAGGTCACCCAGTTGGCTTTCATGCCTAAGTCAAAACTAGAATTCTCAGTTTCCTGGTTTCTAGCCAGGTGCCTTCACCACTAGATCAAACTAGCTATAATACCATGATGCATGTGAATAGGGGTTGGAAAGTGCATTAGGACATTGAAGTACATCATCATTTGCCATTCCTCAGCCCCTGCAAATATTGTAATCTATTTATGACCATTTTCCCCCCTGAACTAGAACCTACCTCAAATAATGATCACAGAATTTGGTGTTGGATATAACATTCCTATCCATTAGCTTCTTAAATGCTACAGGACAGAGGAAAGATTACTTCATGTACCAATTTTTATCTTCATCCTGCTGCTGCTATATGCATAGAAAGATTAAAGCTGAAGTAATCAAAGGCCTTCCAGGCACTGTCTATGCTAATTCCTAATATTTCCATTGTCTCTTGAAAGCTCTGTGTCTTTTGAGAAAGAGATGTAGATAATGTAGATTGTTGATATTGACAATATTTTATCTCTTGCTTCCTCTTTCTTCCTGATGTTGTCTGTTCATTTTGCCAATTAACTGACTTTGATGTTTGCTCATGTTCAATAAATAAACAGCACACTATATATTTTTTTAACTAGATAAAGTGCATGGTGTATGTGCTTGCTTTGAATTGGATGTACACTAGGAGTGTGCTGTATGCAAATTAAACTGAAAATTTCCTACAATAACATTTCAACATTTGATGCCCCAGTGAAAAATGCCATAAGTTGTCAACTCTGATGGATCCGAGAGATTTAAACCCTGTCTAGTGTCAACGGAGGAAATGGAACACCATTTCAATACTTTTTTCAAGATTTAATTCAGCTAACTGTAAATGCTTTCTCAAGGAAGCCTAGAATCATATCTAGTAACTCCTATGTCTATTTTGAAATCCATTCCATCATTATAATTAGAGACCAAAGTGACACTTTTAGACATGATACTAAATGCACTTACATGCAGCAACAGAACACAAAATTCTCTCCCCAATTCACATCTATACAAATGTGTGGTTTTGAGCAGAACAGGTCAATAGCATCTCACTCAACTTTCATTTCTTGTCCAACAGGGCCTTTGTATCCTATCCGAAAACCTGACCTGGAAAAAAGATAATGGAATTATTATGTAATATACTTTTGTCTACAGCCCAAATTAGTTCTCTGTATACTTTTCAGACTTAACGTGTAATAGTCTGAAGTCTGTTAAATGAACTCTGTAAGGATATTGTGTCATTAAATTATTGTTAACTATAATCAATAGTTGTATACTGTAGCATGTTTAATCTAAACAATAATGCAGCCATTATTCTTTCATTCGCTTCATTTCTGGTATAAATTCTGCTGAAAATATTTTGCTCATAATAAGATTGTCATAATCAATTATGTTTTGTTTGTTGCCTTTTAGATTCTGCAAAGAGGCTAAATAATTCTGAGAGAATGAAGGAAAGAATCTTACTTCTGTTCAGGCAACAGCCCTGTGAAGAGTTTCCAAGTGTAATTTTCTTGAAGTTAAAGTTTGGGTTATTATGGTTCACTTAACAGACAGTTTGCCCCAATTTTTGTGATCTCAATGATAAGATGACAAGATTTCTAATTTATAAAACCAGGACAGCATGTTGAGCTCTATGAACCATGGCCAAAGGATATATTGAGCTACATCTAGTTCTCCCCTTTCGTATTTTATTTTTCAAAGAATTTCTCAAAAGAGGTCACTTGTATTGCATACCTTAAATCTATATCATCAGCATCTTTTTCCCCTTGAACTATAATGAAATAAGCATAGAATTGCAATTCTTTACAACTATATGGTAGTTTATAACTATATGGTCCCCTCTGTTGACCACTGATCTTGTATTCTTTCACTGTTTTATTGTTTGCTTTTTGTACTCAACACGTTTAGGAGCATTGATTTGTTGAACTTTGTAAGAGGCCATCAATATAGATGCATGTTAATCATAAAAACAATACTACCTGAATATAAGGAAAAAAATATGATCCTGTGCTTGCCTTCTAAATTTCAAGTCTATTATTTCTTAAAAACTTAACTGTTTCATTTACTTGTCCCAGAAGCAAAATAACAATACCTTTCCACCCATGTTCTTCACCCCTGTTCTCTAATCTTGAGCATTGCAGGCTGAAGAAACCTGTTTCTGTTGTTACTCATCCAGTTTTGAATTCTGTAATCTGTTTTCTATCACTGACCTTAAAACTTGGAGATCAGTGTTGTACTTGACATGCAATGGTAATATTGGGGTTTTGTTTTCCTTGGATAAATAATTTGGTGATATACATTTGTACCTTTGGTTTTTCCTGCCTGTAAAACCTTGCTTTTCTCCACATTAAATTTTATTTTGTTGGATAAGGCCCATTGTTCAAGTCCGTCAAGATCTTTTTGGATTCTGAGCTTGTCTTCTGGGGTGTTGGCTATTCCTGCCAGTTTAGTGTCATCTGCAAATTTGATGAGTTCCCCTTCTATTGCCTCATCTAAGTCATTAATGAAGATGTTAAAGAGTACTGGGCCTGAGATGGAACCCTATGGCTCGCACTGCTTACTTCCCTCCATGTAGATGTAGAACCATTAAGGACGACTTGTTGAATATGGTTTGTCAGCCAGTTACAAATCCATCTATCTCACATTTTCCCATCTTACCAAGAAATAGATTGGAATTAGGTTCTAAAGATCTTGAAGATTGGTCCCCTTCCCCCCTCAATTTTAGTTTAAAGCAATTCTAATAGGATGAGCCAGTTGTTTTCTGAATATATTCTTTCCAGTTCTTGTGAGGTTCACTCCATCCCTTGCCAGTGTGTGCCAGACCAGTGTGCCAAACTAGTATAATGGATTAATGCACTTCATGGATCCTAAACAATGTCCTTAAAAAGGACACTTGAAAGAGAATTCAGAAAGAACAGTAACCATTCATTCAGATGCCCCTGTCACATATTAGAATGGCATGCTATGTTCAGTAGTCAAACTTGTTTTACAGTAAAATTTTGATTCCATGGATTTGCAGCTTAACATTTGAGCTCATTTTTTCCAGCATAACTGAATTCAGTGAAGACAACTGATGTAGTTATGCAAATGAAGTAAATTTAAGTAAATGATATACATTCAGATTTAACAGAGAAGCTTTCTCATCCAAATGCTCCATTAAATTGAGATTTTATTGTATGTTGTCTGACTGTAAAGTAAAAATTCTCTTTATGAAGAACTAAGCTTCCAGTTTGCATTATAAAGAAAATGAGTAAGAATACTCTGACAATAAAGAAATAAAACCCATTTTCTTTTCTCATTTAGTTTGATAAATATTAACAATCTTTCCTTAAAGGGTATTTGTCAGTTGAAAACGTATCAGCAGTTGGAGGTTACACAGATATTTCCCACTTGTTTCACTGGACACTGTGGAAAATTGATTCTGAATGAAGCCAACAAGGTAGAAAGAATCTAGAGCTTTTGAAATTGCCTTTGTTTTTCTTCCTACATTTAAAAAAAAATTAAAATGTGTTTTAGCCTAGTGGGTTGATCAGTTTGTATAATTGTAAAATGTGCAAAATAAATAAAGAGGTACAGGGTTCCATTGATAAGTTTAAAATATGTTGGGCTTCAAAAGGAATTGACTGAACAAAAGCTAATCCTGACAACTTTATTTTTCTCAGGGAACTAAAAAAAAATGGGGAAATTAATATTTCAATCTAAATTTAGCTCAAATTACTCTGTTGGAAGGAAAAACAGGGCATAGTGTTTTCTTCTTAAGACAAGTAAGTCCACTCGTCTAATGACACTAAAGAAGCAGAAAAACAGATATACAAAGTAATTTACTTTGGTCATAAACATAATGAACACGTAGACTCTTACAGCCCGCACAAGTCATGGTAGAAGAAGACTTGTTGGGATCCTATGCTGAGAAAATACAAGTTGTTACTTGTGACTTTCTTCATTGTGCTTACAAATAGGAAATAAATGCACTATCCATTATTCATTGGGGTAATAACCTTTGCAGTACCAGAACGCTTGTCTGCAAGAACAGTTTTTATGGATCAATTCAAAGAAGGAGTTCACATAGAAAAGTTAGCATAGAAAAAATAATCAGGATAACTGTGGCACTTACATAGGGCTTAAAAATACAGAGCTTATAATTAAACTATTGGTTTGTAAGGTTTCTTCATATATAATAATGAAACATTCATATAATTATTTCAGTGTAGCGGATGTACAGAAATTTCATTGTTTTTATAAAGCACTGAGTATTTTTTCTTCCAGTTGCATACCTTCTACAACATTTCTTACTAATACATATTTTCATAATTACAGTGACTTTATGTTGGTGTCCAAAATGCCTTCCATAATTGTAGGTCAATTATGTAGGTTACATAATTGTAGGTCAATGAAGGTACATATTTTTCCTATATAACAGGTATACATGTATAATACGTCTATAGATATCAGTGTGGATTGGAAGCAGAAATTAGATTCCAAACTAGAAATTTCTTTATACTATAGTCCTGTCCATAGTGACTCACAAGCAAGCATTGTTAAATTCATCTGGACTATTTAGTAAGCTGGTTTATATTTTTCCTCAATTTCTTGCTGTGCATAGGATACTGGTTCCGCAAAGGATCAGTGTTGTGTCCTGGGCCTGCTGAGCCAAGTCAGCAGGCCCAGAAATGTTGCAAATGGTCCCGGACAACCTAAAAGCTGCCCAGGACCAGACTGGTTGGCGCTGGTTTGGCATGCAGGCGCAAGGCGTGAAAAAAGGCACTTGTGATTGGATGTTTTGGAAAACTATAAAAGGCCTACGAGCCTGTTGGTTTGCTGAGTGGTTCAGTGGAGGAATAAAGAAGAACTTGGTTAACAACTTGTGTGTGTTGCTTCAATGCCGCAAACCCCAGTACTTAAAAATCAGGATGAGTATTTCATGCTTAACTTGCTGTGGTTGGGTACTAACTACTGAAAACAGAATTGATCATATAACTGATAAAATAACAGGCTTTTTAAAAATGTATTTAGATTTTGAAGAGCAACACTAGAAATCATCATAAGTTTCCCAACAGTGTGCCTTTTGCAGCTAAAATAAGAAGATATTATGGTAACTTGTAGGCTAAAAATGTATTATCTTTGAAGACATAACAGTTTTTGCTACCCTTCACCAAATTGTAACTTCTGGGTGAGTTGGTGTACAAATGCTATCATATTTCATTGTGGTTATGCCTGAGAATGATGGGGAGAATAATTTAACTCCTTTTTGGAGATCAATATATTGGGAATGATAGTTGATGTCATATTTATCAATGTTTAAGATACCACAAATGCTGCTGCTTTAGCAATGTTTGATGAATGAATTTGCTAATTATAAAAACTTAAGGAAAATAAAAATAGCTTGCTGTTGCTATGACATGTTAATATGATAGTTTTTAAACTTGAATTTTCCAAACTGTCCATATATTATTCCCATTCCATTTTATTCTCACAAAAATAATGTCATTATTCCAACGTTATCAGATGAATCTCATAAACTGGTGCAGATTAGACACTTATTTTTTTCATTCTAACTTTACTTTATGCAATAGTTTTGCCACTATAACTAATTTTATTTCTGTTTTGGTATATTTTCAATTATAGCACAACAAAGGTTTCTGTGTTACTAGTTTGCAGATGAAGGCTTCTGCTCATTTCTTCCCTTTTTGGACAAATGAGGATTTTAAAAATTGCATTGCCATTTACTGTATATAACAGTATTCTTGAAATATTTCACAATGTCAGATAATATTTATTTGATCAGCCAGTTGATCTGCATATCAGTCTCATCATATATTGATTCTGAATCTTCCTAACAATTGGGACCATAATAGTCATTGATATCTACTATATCTTCAAGTTCTATAATCACTTACAATCTGGCTCTAGCTCTCCTACCTAACAAAGACCTGGTGTATCATTGATTTGTGCTTGTCTTTTTGGCTGTGTGTTAGTGGCATCAGCCAGTTAATGGGGCACAAGGTCTCTCATGTACTACTAATGATTTAAAGAATGCTGCTTGTCGTATATCTAGAAAATATCAAGCCTCACCAAGGGTGTGAGATCCCTGAGGTCCAAATTGGGGACACCAACTTTCTCACCAAATGTACAGGAACACAGAGGTGACTTTGGAGAGATGGAAACATGACTTCAGATGATTAACAACAAATGAACTCAGTGTGAGAAAACAAGACAGTTTGAGAAAAAATATATATAAAGTAATTCCTCTTTGACTTTCTGTAGTATAAGAGGGAGAGAAGGAAAAACACCTTCAGGTTTTCAAGATTCTTCTACAGTATTATAGCCTATATCAATAGAGTTGAACTTTAGTATTTCTTGTGGGGTCCATTTCCTGCTCTGGCCTACCTTGATGGTTAAGTTACTTTGATTCTGATAGACGAGAGTATTTGTAACTCATGATTGAACTGTAGGGTCCTTGGTGCTCTCTGCACTTGGTGGTTTTCTTGCATACATTTCATTACCAAACTAGATAACATTATCATTTCCAGAAGTGAATGCTCTTATCTTTATATACAAGTAGCTTGCCCTGTCAGTGTTGGTGGGAATGTTTTTGGTGGGTTCTTGATTAGGCTGTTGTTTAGTGTTAGCTTGTTTGTCTGAATTAGTAGTTCCTTGATTGGGGTATTGTTTATTTGATTGTTGGTTTAGTGTTAAACTTGGTGTTATTCTCTACTAATATGGGTGTTGATTACTAGTGAGGAGGTATTTTGTCTTTTGTTTCCATTGATTGTCTCATTTGAGTTGTATGTAGTTGTTGTTTATGTGCCTGTTGATGCTGATTTGTCTGTTAGAACCCAGGAATTCTCTGGCAATTTTGGATTTGGCTTGATCTAGGATGCCAGTTGAAATTTTGATTGAGTCTATCTACATGTTGTGAAATTATGTTTCATCATGTCTTCTGACTGCTAGTTAGTGTTCATGAATGCAGTCTGCTATTCTTCTGCCTGTTTGTTCTACTTAGTGGCTTTTACAGTCCTTACACTGTATGTTGTAGATGACTCTGGGCTGCTAGGTTTTAATTTACTTAGGATGTTTTGGAAGGCTTTAATTGATTTGTGTGCAACGGTGATGCCAGGTAGTTGTAATGGTGGTTTCTGAGATGCTTTTGATCTACAGTAGTGTTATGCTTTTCACAAGTTGTTTTGGTCATGCTATGGTAGTTGAGGTATCCATTTTGTTCAGAGACATTGTATAAATGCTGTGCTTCCTTTTTCGGATGTCCAGGGTTACTGCAATCTGTTTGTGCTCATCTAAATACACAGTTTCTCTTGTGGGAGGAGTGTCTCTTGTGTTACTTTGGTAGTGGGTAAATTTGGTGTGGGTTGGTGTGGGTAAATTTATTTTACAATAGACTTGCTCTTTGATTCCTCCCTGAGTACTGGAGAATAGGATACAATCTTTAGCCATCTCTGGCTAAGCCTTGCATCCTTTTTCTAAGTAAAGATTTTCAAGGTACTTAACTTGAACAGGTTGGAGAAGACAAAAGATTTCAGGTGATTTTAGCTGAAACCAGTGACCAAAATTTTAACCTCTCAGGATTCTGAGAAGAAAAGGAAATGCAATGAAAGAAGGCAGTCATACTAGTGAAGAATCCCTCAAAGATGCAGGATCCACCTTATTTGAAGTAAATGCATCACAACTTCCACTTGTTATTATAAATGTAGTCTGAGGGCATTTCTTCTCGTATTTGAGCTACCATACTGCATAGGCACACACGAACTTGCAAGGGAACTGCTATTCTTCTGTTGGTTATGACAGAATAGATATGTAACAACTGAATGGGATATCAAGTTAGTTTTATCCTGTGTTAAAAAAAGAAGACCAAGAAGGGAAAAAAATGAAAGCAATCCTTTTCTTTTGAAATGTAAGCAGCTGATTTTTCATTATTACCTCCTTGGGCTATAGTTTAAAAAGATTGTTCTACCTCCAATAAAATCCAGCATATTGTCTCAATTTGTAAGGTGTGGTACAGTAGCAAAGCAGCAGAGCTGATGGCGGAGGAAGGGAAAGGAAAAAAAAGGGATGTGTCTGTGCTAACCAGAACATTTTTTTTCTTTTTCTGTAAAGTGTAATATGTTATCCCTACTTAAATTGGTAAGTGGAAATAAATGGAGCCTCTTAGTGAACTCTAATCTTCCCTAGATGCACAAGCTCTAGAGAATGCACCACTGCTTTTCAGAAGATAATAATTACAGCCAAAATGATGTTCTGCTGGCTTTCCTTATCTTAAATTAGGGCAA